CTATGTCACTATGAAAAATGCATGTAGCTCAAAAATAACCAAATCATCAACAGAATTTGCAAAACTATATAAATATATGAATTTATGTTATAGAAGATGATAATTTAAAGTGAGTTTTGCTCTAAGTTTCCAAACACATCCCACATGTCAGAGAAAATAGCTAGAATTAATAAATAGAATCTTACAAATACTTTGTCTCTGGTGGCAAGCCTACGGCTGTGAAGTGCATTGTGGGCTGGGTGTACTACTGGACATGTCTTTTCTACATTGGCACTGGCAGAACAAGTTTTCTTTGTCTTTAGCCCATGGGTGGGATGTGTGTGATAAATATCAGCAACTAATCAGGTATAAATGGATTTGGAGATTATTATGCTAAGTGATATAAGCTAATCTGAGAAAGAGAAGTATCACATGATCTCACTTACTTGTGGAATCTAGTGAAAAAAATGAATAGGCCAACAAAATACTAGTAAGATCCGAAGGATGGAGACATGGAACAGACTGACATACCTCAGTGTAGAGGTGGGGTACAAGGAGAGATAAACCAAAGAACTTATATACTTATATGCATAGCACATGGACATGGGCAATAGGGTGGTGAAGACCTGGGGTGGGGGGTGGGGGGAAGGAGGCAGAGTTGGGCCGAGGGAGTAAAGGGGGGGGCGGGAATGGGAAGCATCTGTAAAACTGTCAACAATAAAAAACTTATAAAAAAGTAAATTAAATTTTAAAAATTAGGAGTGCTCTTGTTCATGTTGCTACTTCAGCAAGTATAGATGTGAGAGGAATGAAGAGGGTTCATGAGATCTGTGGTAATTTTAATTAAGAGTCATTAGCTGACCCAAAGTGAGCTTAATGTTTGAGCAGTTTACCAAGCAATTACCAAGAAGTCAACTATGAAATTTGAAAGTCAAGTTCAGTGAAACTCTAGAACACTCATTCTCAACCAGGAACGATTTTGCTACAGGCGACTTTTGGTTGGGGGTGCGGGTGATGTTGGGGAAGGGCTTCTACTGGCATCTTGTGGGTAGAGACCAAAGATGCTGCTAAAGAACTGAAAATGTACAGAAAGGCCCCTGCACATTAACTATCCAGCTCAAAATCAAAATAGATGCTGTTATAAAACCTTGCTGTGGAACCATTTGGTGGCACGGACATAGTGGAATGGGTATGGTGGTGTATGGGAAGAAGGAACTGTACTTACCACTTATACATTGTAACATTCTTTGGATTTATTGATACTGAAACAAGAATTTTAGGGGAATATAGGCAGGTTTAGGGAATTTTTAGAATTGGGGTCCATTGAAAAAAAACACAGAGCTACTGACTGGGAGAAGGTACATTTCCATAACACAAGGAAGCCAGGAGGTGCAGTTACATTTCCATAAGACAAGGAAGCAGCAACAGGTATCCTACCTAATAAAGAGGGAATATGCTAACTGACCCTCACACCATTGCAAAGATGGCATCGCCCACAGCCAATTAGGAGGGAATATGCTAATTGACTGCCATGCCCTCAAAGATGGCAGCGCCCACAGCCACAAGATGGCGGTGCCCAGTCCCCTCAGTCCCGCCGGGTGGCAGGCGTGAGCCTGCCTCCAGAGTCCCCCAGTCCCCTCAGCCCCCAGCTGCCAAGGGCCGGCCCGAAGCTCAGGTAACTAGGGCTGGCAGAGGCTTGCGCTTCCGGCAGTGGCAGCAGCAAGAGGTGTGATGGGGCATCACCTTCTCCTGATGACCGGGTCACCTCCCACCCTGAGGGCTCCCGGACTGTGAGAGGGGGCAGGCCGGGCTGTGCCCCCACAGCACATGAATCTTCATGCACCGGGCCTCTAGTATTTCCATAAGACAAGGGAACTGGAAGTAGCCAAAAAAGGTCTATATTTACAAAATAAAGAAGAGGGAAGAAAGCCCAGAAGGAATTGGAGGGCCTCAGGAGTCACTATAGTAACCAATTCAAAAGGGAATATTGATCAATCAAAGGGGATATCAGGACATTGGAACTGTAGCCTTTATAAACCATGGAAACAGAAAGTCTGTGGGACTCTTACCCCTCCCCACGTGGGGGGTCTATGCTGTGAGAATCTTTCCATCTCCCCACGTGGGGGTCTATACTTGTTCTTCAATAAATCTCCACCTTTGCTGTACTACCCTCTGTCCATGGATTCATTCTTTGACTCTGGGGGACAAAGAATCTTGGTTCCAGTCCAAAAATTTCGTATCAAAATGAAAAAAAATTAAATTGAGGAAAGTTCCTCTAAATTAACTAGTAGACAGTTATATGTCCCGGAGAGGATTTTTACGGTAAGAACAAAAGGAATCAATTACTTGAATTATAATTGCTAAACATTACTAAAGCGTTTCTATCATTGTTACTGTGAGCTCCTTTTAATTGTCTACTACTCTGCAGGCCCCTTTTCCCCAAACACCCACTCACTAGTATCCACAGTGAAGGTGTTTGTTTTGCTTATTTTCTTCCTTAAACCTCTCTTTGTCATGCCGTGCAAACCTCTGTGGATCTTTTTATTTCTCTTTTTTAAGTTGCACTAGAAGAAATGCTTATTTCTATGCTTCTGTTACTCAGAATTTATAATTTATGTTTTCTCTCTTTTGTCACCTAATATATGTCTTTTAATTTCCAGTACCCTAGGGAAACTAGCTAAAATTTCTATAAATATTTTCTTCTCAATAAGGAAATAGGTCTATGATACAGTTTGTGCAAAAAAGAAAGTTGCTTTGGTGGATGCTAAGAGAAGTCTATAGAGAATTTATAATAAACATATGCAGGAAGACCTAGGTTTGTCCTTTAAAATAAAAGTAAACAGAGTGTAAAGTGGCATAGAAACAGGTTTTAGATAGAAAGGAATTTAGATCTGAGATAGGTTACCATCTCCTAGCAGTAGAGGCATTTACAGATGAGTAAGAGCTGCAGAGGGTAATAGACAGGGAGTATATTTTTCCTTTTTCTTCTCCCTCTAGAGTCTAACCAACCTCTGGGAAAAGTCTGGGAAAATAAGTAACCAAGGCTGAGAAACCGCAAGGTGAACAGCAGGAGAGGAGTTTAAAGAATCTGTCTGGTGCCCAAGTCAGCCTGAGGTTCATAGAAACCTTTGTAAATTTTGAGGCAAAATTAATATTAAGGGTACAATACAAAGAGTTCCATTTGAGTTTGTGTTAAGTACTTATGGGAAGAATTAAAGGTTAGTTATATTAACCTGTTTTGTTTAAAAAGTAAAAATTTCTTTTTATACCATTTACATGAACTTAAAAGGTCATGATGCTTTCTTCCAAGTTTTGTTTGTTTGTTTGGTCTCAGAAAAACTTGCAGAAATGGCAAAAATAGAGCCTAAAATTCAGGGGGGAGGAGGGGAATTAACTTTTATTGCATGGCCTAATATGTTCTAGGCATTGAGCTTCGAGTTTTTTCTTGATTCTTTCAGTTTTCTTGCTCTTCCTGGCAGCATGGTTTCTGGAATAGCCAACTTATTCCAGTTTCTTTTTCTTTCTGGGATCCCCAAACAGCCTTATTGTGCCTGGTCAGAGGTACCAGCTGGACAGTGCCTCCTACTCAGAGGGCTGCGTCCCACTGTGTGTGCTGCCCTCTCCACAGTCCCAGATTCTAAGGGTTAGATTAAACCCTTTCCTCTCCGATCCCCTGCACCTAGAGGTGGTGGCAGTTTCCTGCAGTAATGGGTTTCTGCCTGTGTCTTAGTTGCCTTTTCATTGGCTCAGTTCTCTAACACCCTTTTGAAACAATTCCTTACATTAAACTCTTCGTGAAAATGACTGATCTCTTTCCATTTTCCTGATTAACTTCTGACTGATACCACTATATGCACTGTACCCATTTTCTAAATGAGTAAACCGCAGCTCAGATGAGTTCAGTAACTTGCCCAAGGTTTCATAGATAGCAGGGGGCATAGGTAGAATGTGGGCACAGATCTATGAGCCCCAGGACATAGGAGGAAAACCATAAGAAGTATGAGTTGCCAAATTTTAAGAATTTTAAAGAATAACTTAATATCAGAATAAAGTTATTATCTATCTATACAGCTGATTAATTATAAACCTTATATCTTTATATATTTTCAAATATATACATTCTTTATATATATATACGTGTTTATATGTATATTCTTTTGTAGGTAACAACTTGTGGTCTATTTGTCAAATTTAAACTAAAATTTTATGAATTTTTAGTTGCTTGCCAACATTTTAAAATTTAGTCCCATCTGAGATGTTCTTAAAAGACTGGATGATCCCACAATACTGGACATACAGCACAAGTACAGCTGAATGGTGGGAACTTTCTTGGGGTAGAATAGGTTTTCTATAGCCCGGTTTTCTGTAGCCCTTGTCACTATTTTATATTACCTTCCTGACCGGGTAGTCATTTGAGTTTGATATCTCTGATAAAGCACCTGTCTCTTAAGTATCATCAAGCCACCTATGCAAAATTAAAGTTGGTTTTTATCTACATTTTTCAGAAAAAGAGTATAAGGCATCACAGGAACCCCATCTCATTACTCTTACCCATAGGCTGAGAACATCAGATGAAGTGAACTGACATTGTAAAGATGACTCCTGATTGGATAATCAGTAAGTGCAATTGTACCTTCCAGGACCATCCAAATCCATTCTCATAAATACATCTGACAAAGTAAAACCACTGTCTCAAGAGTCTGCTGTGGTATATGTTAAGGTTCAACTCATTCTGAGATGACTGGGCCATTCAGATTTGCTTATAAACAGTTATTTATCAAATTGCAGTGTCTGACATATGGTTTGATTTGGCAAAAATTGACTATGCAATACAAATCCAAGCAGGTCTCTTACTTCTTTTATTTGAATAATAATTACTATAGGAGTATCAATTAATTAATGCTCATTCTTTTTTCAAGAAATAATTCTTATATGCGACTCATTAAAAATTTGCAATTTATTTCCATCTAACTGTCCAATGAATATCAATACTCTAAGAATCATTGATTAAGTATGCTGTATGATCACAAGATAAGAGTCAATTGGGAAAAGTCTAGCTGTATTCTTGAAAATGTTTAATTGGTAAAATCACTTCACTCAAATGTGATTAAAAGCTGTTAATTGAGAACTAAGATGTGACTATTACAAAGCATGTACCAGGATAACAATTCCTTTCTAAGAGATGGTTTCCAGTTAATTAGAAGAACGTTTTCCTAACATGTAGCTATCTTGGTCTCTTTTATGCAATGAATTTCTGGCACATGGATCTCAATTTGGGGAGGTTATTTTCCCTTCTAATGAAATTACTTCAGTCCTAGGAGGAAGCTCGTAAGGTTTGGTTTGCTTGTGTAATTTCTCTTCTCTTCTCTTCATAATTTCTTTGAAGTGTTTTTTTTCCTCTAACTCTTTTTCTTTACGTTCTTTGGCCTCACATATTGCATCTTCTTTCTGTCGGATCTGTAGCTCTTTCTCCCACTGTTACAGAGAAAAGGTGTCATTTACATATGATTAAAAAATTAACTTCTCAAAATGCAAATTTATATATTCAATTATCCTCTTAGGTTTTCTCACAGATATTCTTCAGGAATTTATACTCTACCACACTGGAAAAAATATGTACGCTATCTATCAGAAAGTGTACAAGTCCCACACACACAAAGAAGAATTCCCTCTTAACATTTTTAAGAATAAGAAAAGATAATAGGGTTTATATTTCTATATACCAAATGAATTTCCTTTCTTCATCAATATTGGTATTTACATGAAATCATGGAATCATAAAGCAAAAAATCAAGCCAAAGAAAAACAAAAAGAAAAACCAAATTAAAGTGAAAGGCAGAAATTGTGATACTATTACCTGTGAGGTCAAAAAATGAAATTAATCAGATGATAAATGCTGATCTATGGCTACTATGTAGCTGTGTTTTTCTTTCTTATCAATCCTACAGATACTACCTCCCCATCCCCACTTCCATTCAGGTTAGGGATTATAAACCAGAAAATGAGCAATGAGGGAGAGTTAAAAAGAAAGATTTGAAGTCCAAAGATTTGGTTTTGTGTGTACACCAATCATTTACTAAGTTTAAAACCTTGGTAAAATAACTGAAATGTAAACCACCATTCTTACTGGGAATTATTTTACTGGTTGTTGTGAAAGTTAAAGTAGCTAATGTAAGGACGTTTTGTAAAGTGTAAAATGTAACGTACAAAGCAGTACTGCTATAGCTTCCTGAGAGGAAATGGCATATACATGAAGACTTTGTTAAATATGATATTCAAGAAACTTCCATAAACCTTTCCAGGTTAATACTTTGTAGTTTGTACTACTATTTGATTAGGCTACCCACATATCAAACAATTTGGATTCTATCAAACATCCAACTTATTTTCAGAAAAGATTCCTTTACCCTTCTATAGCTACATTCCAAACAGATTCGTGGTGGGTGATTGCTTATATAATGCTTATGCCTTTGAAAAGAGGAAAAAATGATACTTTTTAGGGTCCATTTCTTAGCCTTCTTTTCCTAGCCTCCTCTCTATCGTTCAAAATAATGTCCTCTATCTCTTCAACTAGCACCAGGCAGATGAGTTTAATCACAAAGTGATTAAAGTATTTCTATTCTTTCAACAATAAAGAATAGCAACTGAAAACTGAGTAAAAAGATGTTTGTTGTGTTATTAAAACTACATAATATATATGTGTATATAAACCTTGACAATTTGCTGTCTCTTGTAATCTATTCTAGATAATTCAGTTGAGTGACTGGTAAAATATAGATGCCATATTTATAAACCATTAGGAATTTTTTATACTACCCTGTACATGTGATATACTGGTTTAGCAAAACTTTCATTATTGAATAAAAATATAATACTACAGCTTTCATTTTGTGTTTCCAGGGCATCATTCTGTTTCCAAGTCCTAGTACTTGTAGCTATTGCTAGAGTAGTTTAAATATTAGCTATAAGAAAAATTATAACTCAATGGGATCAGAAAATGAAATAATCCCTTATCATTTCTCAAAAGATCACTAATTAAATAAAATGTAAAAAATTAATCATGGGAGAGAACCCTAAAGATTCCATCAAAAAACTACTAGAACTGATAAACTCAGTAAAGCTGTAGGATATAAAATAAATATCCATAAATTGGTTTTATTGGTATACACAAAAATGAACTATCAGAAAGGGAAACTAAGAAAATGATCCTATTTACTACTGTATCAAAAAATACTTAGGAATAAATTTAACCAAGGATGTAAAAGACCTGCACTTGGAAAATTATAAAACACTGAAGAAAAAAAATTTTAGAAATATAAATCAGTGGAAGCATCCACAAATAAGAATTAACATCATTAAAATGTCCATACTACCAAAAGCATTTATAGATTCAGCACAATTCCTATCAAATACCAATGGCATATTTCACAGAACTAGAACAAATGTCCCCAAAATTTATATAGAACCACAAAAGATCCTGAATAGCCACAGCAATTCTGAGACAAAAGAACAAAGTTGGAGGATTCATGCTACCTGGTATGAAACTATACTATAAGCCATAGTAATCAAAACATCATGATACTGGCATAAGAACAGACATATATATGAATTGAACAGAATAGTGAGCCTAGAAATAAACCCACGCCTTTATGGTCAATTAATATTTGGCAAGGGAGGCAAGAGCATACAATATGGTAAAGATTGTCTATTCAGTAAATGATATAAATGACTCCTAAAACAAAAGAGCAATCATAAAATGATTTAGCAAGAAATGATCAACTAAATAAGCTCAATGGATTAAAGTTTCTTAAGTGAATAGCCTTGTGTTGCCAGTTTGTTAAATCATACCATGAACAAAGTGATTAAAGTCTTTCTAATATTTCAAGGGCAAAGAATGGTCACTGAAAATTGAGTCAAAAGATTTTTGTTCCATTTTTAAAACTATACTGTAGAAAAAACAGTGTTCAGTGTTCAATATCAGATTCTTGTTTAAAAAATCTAATTCAGGAAACAGGATAAGGCTAGTATTTTAAAATGACAGAGGCCAATTTTCTGTAGCCCAGTGAAGGCTCTGATATGTATAGATAGTACAGTGAGATGTAATTAAGTTTAGCAATGCCCAATCATGGCTCTACTTTTAAGTTCCACATGTTAATATTAAAGTCTCAGAACTACACATTCTAATTAAAAATACCTTTAAAAAGCAAAACTTTTGCAAGTAGTTTAAGAAAGTCAATCTTACATAATGGTCAATGATTCTTGTCAATTCTTCATCTCTCTTGGTGAAGAAATCTGGATTTGAAAACAGGGGGACGTCTATTACAGAAGGATGTTCCCTTCAAAAGAGCATAAGAACAGATGCAATATTAGGTATAGATATTCCTTCTCCCAGGAATATATAACTTTGAAAGTCATAATTCATTATTAAGCATTTTGATTCTACATTGTTAACATCAAGTACTTAATTCTGTACAGTCTACTATATTATTAGCTCTTAGTTTTGGTAAGCCATTTGGGGTTATTAAAACTGACATTTTTGAGGATAGGGTATGACATATAGAATAAGCACGCAGTCTTCTCCTAGGAGATGTACGTACTATAGCTTGTCAGTAGAAAATGAGATGTAAGGATATGAAAGGCTAAAGGATGGTTGAAGTCGACTGTGATCAATGGGGAGGTGAACGTGTGCCTCACCATACATAGCCCCATGACCTTGAATATTCTGGTGGAAGTTTAAGCCTAAGAATTTGAACTAAGGCATACTAAACACACACACACACACACACACACACACACACACACACACACACACAAAACAGTGATGTGACTTCAGTATTGCTCCTATCTCTTCGTAATACTAAGAGTGGAACTGTGGCAGACAGCTTAGCAACAGCTCAATGAAAGTGTTGGCAGTGCAAAGTGGGGACTAAGCTATTGGAGATTTATTGTCAAACTGTTCACATAATAATTGTATTATTTTAGATATTTTGAAGTAATTATTGTGAGTCCAGAAATAGGTAAAGCAACAAAATGGTGATAGAGAATATGGCTTTGTAGGAGAAAAAGTGGGTTTAAAAAATAAAGCTATTAGGCAAGAACCTAATCAGTGACATAACTGGTGAAAAATTTCCAAATTCAAACCAGTCTGATAAATTTTTATGACTATAATGTATGTCTACATGCATTTTTTCAAGTTGCTCTATATATAGGGAGCTCTATATTTTTGATACTGTAGGGTTCCCTCATATAACCAGGTTGTCCTTCTTTACACTGTACTAAATGCTTCTCAAGTATTTCCTTTATCTTCATCTTCACCATCATTTCCCTGATTTAAACCATCATTCTTACCTGGACTTAGACCTCTTCTTTCGAATCCCTGCATCCACCATGTCTTACCCTCTTCTCCCCCTCTTATCTCTGCACAGGGCTGGTTAATGTCTATTTATCCTTCAGCTCTCAGTTCAAATCCACTACCATAGCTCTCAATCCACCATGGGCCTTTCCTTCATACTTATCTTAATTGTAATTTTAAATTTATCTGTGTGCCTGTGTGAGTTTTAGATTTCCTGGTTAGAATATGAGCTACATGATTGTGCAGATGGTTTACTTATCATTGTCTTATCAGTTCCCAATATAGTGCAAACACTCGATAAATGTTTGCATGTTTAGTGAATTATGGAATGTATAAATGAAAGTTGTGACATTGGTAAGAGTCTACCGCAAAACACACTTATGTCAGTAGAGCAATGTCCAGTATAGCAAGGGAATGGCAATCTCAGGAGACAAGTCACAGAGTGGAACTAATAGCAGGAGTTCAACTCAAGTGGCTGGTGACCAGAGAAAATATATGGAGCCCTCTCCCAAGCCATAAGATTCAGAAATATTGTGGGGCAGAAGAGCAGTGAGCTTTCCACTGCATGCTGAATAGGAACTCTAGTCTTCCTATTAAAATATTAGAAGAAAATATAATTTTAGAATGCTGGGGAATTTGGGGACATCTGGGGGCTGACACAGACTAACTATATTTAACAAAATTTGAGCACTTCTGATATTCAAAGAAATGTGCTAAATACTGTGAAAAAGGAATAAGATAGAATAGTATAATTATTTAAAGGTTAAAAATATTCAAGTAACTTGCCTCAAATTCCTTCTTGAATTATAAAGGTTTAAATTTAAGTTAAAGAGATGTATAATAATATATTAGAAAGCCTTTAAAATGGAAAGGTTAGGTGGGTATGCTTGTGCATCTGTGATTTCTAGTTATTTCAGTTGAATAATTTGTACTTGAAAAGGAAGATTCATAGATAACGATAATACAAGACAACCTGAGGCATAAGAGAGACAAACATTCAATGATATAAACAGAAAAATATAGGAAAATGGTTAAGCATATGGTTCTGCCACCTTGTATTATTTAATCCCTCTATTCCTGTTTTTCTTTAATATAAAAATTATATTGGCTTTATTTTTATTTTATAAATATTAAAAAGAAATAAGATATAAAACACTTTTGATGGAGCAAATACTGAACAAATTTCAGGTGCATTATTCTTTTTTTAATTCTTTATTGTTTAAAGTATTACATAAGTCTCCTTTTTCCCCCATTGACCTCTCCCCAGCTATTCCCACCCCCCAGCACATGCCCTCATCCCCCTACTGTTTATGTTCATGGGTTATGCTTATATGCATGCATACAAGTCCTTTAGTTGGTCTCTTACACCCCCTCACCCCCGCCTTCCCTCTGAGGTTGGACGGTCTATTCAATGCTTCCATGTCTCTGGATCTATTTTTGTTCATCAGTTTATGTTGTTCATTATATTCCCCAAATGAGTGAGATCATGTGATATTTATCTTTCTCTGACTGGCTTATTTTGCTTAGCATAATGTTCTCCAGGTCCACCCATGCTGTTGCAAATGGTAAGAGTTCCTTCTTTTTTTACAACAGCATAGTATTCTATTGTATAGATGTACCAAATGTTTTTTAATCCACTCATTTGCTGATGGGCACTTAGGCTGTTTCCAAATCTTAGCTATTGCAGATGTGCTGTTATGAACATTGGGGTACATATATCCTTTCTGATTGGTGTTACTGATTTATTGGGATAAATTCCTAGAAGTGGAATTACTGGGTCGAATAGGAGTTCCATTTTAAAATTTTTGAGGAAATTCCGTACTGTTTTCCACAGTGGCTGCACCAGTCTGCATTCCCACCAGCAGTGGGAATTTTCTCTGCATCCTTGCCAGCACTTGTCATTTGTTGATGATAGCCATTCTGACAGGTGTGAGGTGGTACCTCATTGTTGTTTTGATTTGCATCTCTCGGATGATTAGTGATTAGTTGAGCATGTTTTCATATGTCTCTTGGCCTTCTGTATGTCCTCTTTCAAAACTAATCTATTTAGGTCCTTTGCCCATTTTTTTATTAGATTATTTACCTTCCTTTAGTTAAGTTGTATGAATTCCCTGTAAATTTTGGAGATTTATCACCATCAAAAGAATTTAGAGGAAGCCATAGCAAAACAGAGACAATTCAAGGTCTTCTTTAAATTATTCTGACTTGGATGCCTCTATTGTGGGGTCATCCAGTCATTTAAGAATAACACCTCAGATGGGATTATTTTTAAAATAAAAGTTGCTAAATTTCAAAATATTTGTCTGGCTTTGGTATCAGGAGAATACTAGCATTCTCTCCTGTTTGATTTTTTGAAACAGTTTCAGAAGGACTGGCATTAATTATTTAAATGTCTGATAGAATTAATCAAGTTATTTGATCCTGGGATTGTCTTGGTTGGGAGGTTTTTGATGACTGATTTGGTCTTACTTGTTATTGGTCTGTTCAGATTTTTTATTTTTTTATGATTCAGTCATTGTAGATTGTATCATAGCTCTAGAAATTTATTCATTTCTCCTACTTTATTTAATCTGTTGGCATATAATTGTTCACAGTGGTCTCATGTTCTTTTGTCTTTTTGTGGTATTGGTTGTAATATCTTTTATTTTATTTAATTTTATTTTATTTTAGTCTTCTCTCTTTTTATCTTGGAAAGTCTAGCTAAAGGTTTGTCAAATTTGGTTACTTTCTTTTAGTTTTATGGATTTCTTCAATTGTTTTCTAGTCTGTTTCATTTATTTCTGCTCCTAACTTTGTTGCTTCCTTCCTTCTGCTAATTTTAGTCTTATATGGTTTACTCGTTATAGTACCTTGAGGTATAATGTTTGTTTATTTGAGATCTTTCTTTTTTCTTGATATAGGCATTTGTTACTCTAAATGTCCCTCTTAGAACGGTCTTTGCTGCATCCTATAAGTTTGGTATGTTATGTTTCCATTTTCATTTATTTCAAGATATTTTTGATATTCTCTTTGATTTTTTGACTCATTGGTTGTTCAGAAGAATATTGTTTAATATCTACATATTTATGATTTTCCAGTTTTTCTCCTGTTAATAATTTATAGTTTTATAACAGTTTGGTTGGAAAAGATACTTGGTATGATTCCAGTAATTTTAAATTTGCTTACACTTGGTTCATGACCTATAATACTAGTATGACCTATCCTGGAGAATGTTCCATGTTCACTTAAGAACAATATATGTTCTGCTACTTTCGGGTAAAATGTTAAATATATTAGGTCAGTTAGTCTAAAGTATATTCAAGTTCAATGTTTCATTTTTATTTTTCTGTCTAGATAATCTATCCATCGTTGAAAGTGGAGTATTAGTGTCCTCTACTATTTTTATAATATTGTCTGTTTCTCCCTTCAGATCAGTTAATATTTGCTTAATATAATTTGGTGCTCCAAAGTTTGGTGCATATATATTTACTAGAGGCCCGATGCACAAAATTTGTGCAAGAGTAGGCCTTCCTTTCCCCGGCTGCTGGCACCAGCTTCCCTCTTGCACCCATGACCTGGGCTTCCCTCTCAGCCCCAGCTTTGTCTGGAAGGTCATCTGGAAGGATGTCCGGTCTAGTTAGCATATTATGCTTTTATTATTATAGATAATTGTTATACCTCTTGATTAATTGAATCCTTTGTCATTATATAATAGTTTTTGAGTTGAAGTCTATTTTGTCCAAGGTAAGTATGGCGCTATTCTTTTTTTTTAAATATATTTTATTGACTTTTTACAGAGAGAAAGGGAGAGGGATAGAGAGTTAGAAACATCGATGAGAGAGAAACATTGATCAGCTGCCTCCTGCACACCCCCTACTGCCCGCAACCAAGGTACATGCCCTTGACCAGAATCGAACCTGGGACCTTTCAGTCTGCAAGCCGATGCTCTATCCACTGAGCCAAACTGGTTAGAGCAGTATGGTGCTATTCTTGCTCTCTGTTTCT